GAAGATGGGATCTGGCCAGGGCCTCCGGGGCCCTCGTGGGGATGGGAGAGAGCAGGAGAGCCGCTCAGCCTGTCCCCTTCACCTCCACGGCCCATGTGTGGGCGTGCAGGGCAGTACCTGCCTGGTTGTGGTGCTGTCGGCAGCGCCCTGCCCACGCTCTGCCCCTCTCTCCCTGCCCGGGCCAGGGGAGGAGGCGGCGGGCAGGCTGCAGCCGCTCAGCAGAGCTGTCCCCGCCATCTCCGCAGGGATGACCACGGCTTCAGCCCCTTGCACTGGGCCTGCCGTGAGGGCCGCTCCAACGTGGTCGACATGCTCATCATGCGGGGAGCACGCATCAACGTCATGAACCGTGGTGACGACACCCCGCTGCACCTGGCTGCCAGCCATGGCCACCGTGACATCGTGCAGAAGGTATCTGCCTCCCGCAGCCAGCACGCTGCCCTGTCGCCACCGCCTTCCAGGCACCCACCTTGTGCCTTGCACAGCCCTGCGGCACACTGAGCGGGACCCTGCGCAGCCCTCTGCCCTGTCCACCCAGGACTCGCTCCCCACTGTCACCTGCCGGCTTCCTTGCCGTGAGCTCATGGCTTCCCCATCTGGGTGCCTCTGAGCACCTCCACCCTCCCCATGAAAGCCGTGCATCCAGCCTCAGCCCCCTCCTGACAGCAGACCTTGCCAGCACCTTGCCAGCACCAGGGCAAGGTGCTGTGGGGAAGGGGACCTGCACCTGATTTACGGGGATTGTCCTGCTGCCCCCAGCTGATCCAGTTCAAAGCAGACATCAATGCTGTGAACGAGCATGGGAACACGCCTCTGCACTATGCCTGCTTCTGGGGCCATGACCAGGTGGCAGAGGTGAGTGGAAGCACTTGGACACAGGCAGGAGTCCAGGGCGAGGGAGGTGGCCGAGGGGGGCACGGAGAGGGGGGGAGGGATGCCGGGTGTGTGTGAAGAGGCTGAGAAGAGGCGAGCAAACTCTGCAGGTGCTGGCTTTCTCCTCCCTCAGGACCTGGTGGGCAACGGGGCCTTGGTCAGCATTGCTAACAAATACGGTGAGACACCCATTGACAAAGCCAAGACACCACTGCGAGAGGTCTTGAAAGGTAGGAGGTCCTTGTCCTGACCCCACAACCTGCCTCTGGCTCCTGCTGCAGCCCCTGTGCTCAGCACCAGCAAGGTCTCTGCTTGTGCTGCCAGACTCCTTGTCCCTCTCCAGAGCGTGCTGAGAAGCTGGGCCAGAGCCTCACCAAGATCCCCTACAAGGATACCTTCTGGAAGGGCACAACCCGCACACGTCCCAGTAAGGACATCCCTTCCCTCGTGGGGATGCTGCTGCAGGGGAGAGCACAGCTCTCCTGCTCGGTAGGGCAAGCTTCCAGGGAGGGGGCGGCAGTCTGCACTGCAAATGGCTTGTTTTGGCATGGAAATCCCCTCACTGAAGGTGGCTCCTTGTGGGGGCAAGGCGTCCCGCTGGTGCTGCCTCCCTCTGCGGTCCCAGGTGGACATCAGGAGGAACGTCCATGTCTCCTCCTTTTCTTACAGGAAATGGGACTCTCAACAAACTTGCTGGAATAGACTTCAAACAGCTGAGCTTGAGCCAAAAACTCAATGAGAACCAGTCAGGAGAGGTACGTAGGCCTGTTCCCCCCAGCACAGTGTAGCTGCACCCATGCAGACCACCGCTCTCTCCCCAGCCCCTGGCTGGCTGCGGAGTGCAGAACTGGGGCACAACTGCTTGGTGGGTTTACGTGTCCAGGCGCGGGGCCAGCCCACGCAGAGAGAAGGCACCTGAAAGGACTGAAAGGCCAGGGTTTGCTCTCATGCACTGTCAGTCACTCCACGATGCTGCAGACCCTGTCGGACCCTATGCAAGGTGCTGGGAGGTGCTCGGGGACCGTGTGTCTCTTTCACAGCGACTGTCTCCACCTGTCTCCCTGCAGTTGTGGAAAGGGCGCTGGCAAGGCAATGACATTGTCATCAAAATGCTGAAAATTCGGGACTGGACAAC